GTCTGGCCCTGTGACTCCCCAAAGGTCCACCCCAGGTCTTGGCGGGTGTGTGTGTGGGGGGACGAGGGTCCCCAGTTGTCGCTTTGTTCACCTGGGGGTGTCTGAGAGGCAGCGCCCCCTCCCGGCTACAGCTCCAGGGTGGAGCGCGTCCTGCTGCACGGCTCTGGGGCGTCCCTTGGAGGTGGGCGGCGGTGTCAGCCGGCTGGGATCACGTTGGAACCAGTGACGTGCGGTAAAATAATGGCCCCGTAAAGGGGAAGCGATGCCATCAGGGAAAGTCGGAGGGCTCATGAATATTCTGGGCACTTGTACCCACAGCCAGCGCCAGGCTCGGCTCCTGATTCATCAATATTACAAATTGGCGCGGTGGTGAGCCGCCTGTCAGCGACTTTCATTTTTGCTTCGAGCCCCAGGAATTACAATGGAAGTATTTCTCAGGGACGGCCTGCAGGAACACAGGCGGGCTCGTGCAGCCAGAGCCCGGGCGGGGCCTTGGTGGCTCCGAGGTCAGGAGGAAGCCATTCCTGAGCAAGCCCCAGCCCCCGGGGAGAACCAGGAGAGAGCCCACCAGCGCCAGCAATGTCCTTGAAGGCCAGCACAGCGACTCTGCAGAGGAAAGACAATGGGCCCATTCCACAGGCGAGGAAAACTGAGGCTCAGAGGAGGGCCGTGGTTCCCCACCGTGGAGCCCCGCTGGAGCTGCAGGTATCCATTTCCTTACCTTCCAAGTGTGGGAATGACGGCCACCTTAGAGGGTTGTCAGGTGGACAGGAGGAGGTAAGGAGCTCGGGCAGCTCTCTTTGGAAGTATCTCGAGTCTTCCTGGAACATGCATTGCTCACACGGGCACAGCCCCGCTGGGCTGCAGAGACCTTTCTGCCTCCGCTGTGCCTGGCTTCATGTTCCCAGCCGTCAGGCCAGGCAGGCAGGACTGTGGGCATGACCATGTGTTCTAGGTTGCAGGCCAGGAGGCCCAGATGAGCCCAACGCCTCTTTTCAGAGGCTCTGCATCTTGGAGGTGGCAAGGTCACTGTTGAAGGTCATGCTTAAAATGTTTAGTAAAGAGAGGAGGCTAAGGTGTGATGTGCCCATTTCACAGATGGGACATGGGAGGCCGTGGGTGGAATGCTGAGGACTCGCCTCTGTGGAAATTGAGAATTGTTTAAGAAGGTGAGGATAACATGTCCCCCCCACCCCACATTTGCCCCTCCCTATCTCTAATTGTTTTGTCTGGTACCAGGGATTGAACTTGGGGGCCCTCCACCTCTGAGCCCTCCTATTTTGGGTTTATTTAGAGACAGGGTCTCACTGAGTTCCTTAGCGCCTTGCTTTTGCTGAGGCTGGCTTTGAACTCTGATCCTCCTGCCTCAGCCTCCCGAGCCGAGCCGCTGGGATGACAGGTGTGCCCTGGCCTCCATTTCTAGTATTTTAATTAAAAATAAAGTGCAGGAAATTTCTCTCTCTCCCCTCCCCACCCTTCCTCCTGATAATTTTAAGAGCTTAGCATTAACAACAAATGCAGAGCTTATGCCTACTGAGATCCAGGGCGGTGCTCTGCTCAGAGTGAAATATTTATTCAGTGAAGTGTTTAGTAAGCTCCTGTTGTATACCAGGCTCTGTTCTGTGATGCAGGGAGCAGACCGAGGTCTTGACATTTCTATCAAGGAATTCATAGTCTTGGGATTTCAGGACATGTGAGGCACAAAGTAACATTGACAATGTCCCTCTCACTTGACAAAAGTAAAAATTCTAAGCCAAGAAGGTTACAGGATTTTTCTGTGGCCCTCAAACTGCTGTCTGTCATGCAGGGATGAAGCAATTCAGGAGTGAGTTGATTGGGCTCAGAAATGGGGTTGCAGGGCTTTCATTTGTCAACTGTGTGACACTAGGCCAGTTACTTAACCTGTCTGAGCCTCAGTGCTCTCTAATAGCAACTGGGGGTAAGTTTTGTCAGCAATGGGAAGGTGTTATGACAAGAGATTCTGGCTGGGCACGGTGGCACATGCCTATAATCTCAGCAGTTCGGGAGGCTGAGGCAGGAGGATTTTGTGTTCAAGGCCAGCCTCAGCAACATAGAGGCCCTAAGCAACTCAGTGAGACCCTGTCTCTCAATAAAATACAAAAAAGGGCTGGGGATAGGGCTCAGTGGTTGAGGGCCCCTGAGTTCAATCCCTGGTACCAAAAAAAAAAGAGGTTCTGGAAGCCCCGAATCCTGCTGTCATTCACCCCTCATTCCTGCAGGATTTTCAGGCTGATTTGATGCCCAATGAGCAATGATTAAATGAAGGAGAAAATAGTCATTGTTTTTTGGCTCTGGGTTCAACGGAGACTTCTGACTTCCCGGGTTAGGGAACAGTCTTGGCACCTGGATGCTCAGGATTGTCTGTAAGGAGACAAAGATGGCCGGGTCCGCAGAGGATCCTGGCTGCGTGCTCCCCACCAGCTCCAAGAAATAAATAAAGACCAGTGTGGTGCCGGGGACTCTCCAGGGAGGGGACCCTGCTTAGAGAGAATCAGGCAAGAGGATGCTAATTGTGTGGCAAGTCACCCTGTCCGTGACCGCTACTCGGCACCGGGTGTGTTCTCCTCTCCGACTCAATAGGATGTCAATTTGTCTTTCTCTGGCTGAGAGCTGACGAAAGTGATTACCAGAGGGACAGAAGGGTCAGGGGGCAGGTAGATTCTCTCCCACCATCTTTCTCAAGGGTGGCTTCACAAACGAGGCAGGTCCCTTGCCTCATGCCTTGGTGTCTTGCACACACAGGGAAAAATGAGCCGCTACTTTGGGATTTTCATCAGGGGACACTCGGTCCCAGCACATCCTATTCTGAATCTCTAGATTGAATCAAAACCCAGGTTTTAGAATTCAGCAGGATTCTTGCTACTCCTGGGCAACTGGCCCAGTGAGGACAGAGGCCAAGGTTGCAGCCTGGTTGAGAACAGGGCTCAGAGGAGCCTGAATTCAGCTGGGCTGAGGAGAGAATCTTGGTCCAGAGTTGAGTGTCTATCTACTACATTTTCTTTTTCTGTTCATGTATTGAAGGGCCCCTAGGTGGGTTCCATAGCTTAGCTACTGTGAGTTGAGCTGCTATAAACAGTGATGTGGCTGTGTCCCTGTAACATGCTGATTTCAAGTCCTTTGGGTATAAACCAAGGAGAGGGATAGCTGGGTCAAATGGTGGTTCCATTCCAAGTTTTCTGAGGAGTCTCCATTCTGCTTTCCAGAGTGGTTGCACCAATTTGCAGCCCCACCAGCAATCTGTGAGTGAACCTTTTCCCCGTGTCCTTACTGACATTTATTGCTGCTTGTGTTCTTGATAGTTGCCATCCTGACTGGAGTGAGATGGAATCTCAGTGTAGTTTTGATTTGCATTTCTCTAACTGCTAGAGCTGTTGAACATTTTTTCATATATTCATTGATGGATTATATTTCTTCTTCTGGGAAGTGACTGTTCAGTTCCTTAGCCCATTTATTGATGGGGATAATGTGGTATATATATATGCAATGGAATATTATTCAGTCTTAAAAAAGAATGGAATCATGGTAAATGGATGGAGCTGAGGAATGTCATGCTAAGCAAAATAAGCCAATCCCCAAACCAAAGGCTGAATGTTTTCTCTGATATAAGGACGCTGACTCACAGTAAGGATGGGGGAAGCCGTTGCTAAGGAGGAACAGAGGTACTTTAGATTAGTAGAGGGGAGTGGAGGGAGGGGAGGGGATGGGGGTGGATAGGAAGGAGAATGACCTGAAACTCTGCATCATGCACAACCAGAAAAATGAGAGATTCTGCTCCATTTATGTGTGGTGTACCTCAGTGCACTCCACTGTCATGTACATCTAATTAAAACTAATTATACCAAAGAGTTAAGTGTAGCTTCCAGGGTTGCCTTGGGTTTGGTTTTGGGGATCCCCAGGCCTCCTGGGTGGCAGCTCCCACAGACAGACGCCTGAGGGCCGAGCAGGCCCGGGTGGCAATCCGGGATCGGTGGCTCTGTGGCTCCTCAGGACTCTGTGGGTTTCTCCTGCTTTGGTCCCTCAGCCCCCCGTCCCCCACTTCTGTAGCGGTTTGATTTTGCGTTTCTTTGATTCTGTGGAATGACGATCCCGGGACATGGACTCTCTGCTTCAATTATTCCAAGAGAAAAAAAAAAATCTCTCTCGTCTTTTTGTTTTCGGATCAATGTAGTCAAGCTCCTCGTGTGAGATGCTGGTCTGCCAGAGGCCACCAGGCACTGGAGGAGGATGGGGGCTGTGTCCAAGGTGAAGACGGCAGCAGCCACACCTGCTCTGGGGCGTTTGGGGCCAGAGTGTGACCAGGAGAAGGAGAGGATGTCAGGTGACTGGCAGGGCCCACATGGAGGGTGGAGAGCAAGATAAAGATCGCGATGGGAATGAGCCCAAGGTTGTGTATGATGTGACAGGACCCAGACGTGGAAATTCTTCTGAGTCTCTACAGACCTTCAGGTTCTCTGTAATAAACCCCCTCCCCACCAAACCAGCCTGCCGGGTCACCCTGCTCCCTGTTGGGGCGCTCAGGGGCAATCTCTGTGTTCCAGATGGATCAGTTAGTCGGTTAACAATCCTTGGGAAGGTCTTTGAATTTAAATGGGGACTTTCTGTCTAGACACAGCACAGCATCATAACAACGACAACTGAATCGATCGGCAAAGGCTGGGTACGGTTGCAGAAAACACCAGACCTTAGAAAGAGTGTTGATTTTTTACCCTGATAAAGTCCTCTGCCCAGCTCTGACCCACATGGTGACTCAGGGATCCAGGCTCCTTACGTTCTGCTCTTTGCATTAGAACACGATGGCTTCTCGTTGGCTACAGCGGGAAGGGAGAGAGGTGGGAAGGGGTCGGGGACTGTGCCCTCCCCTGGACTGGAAGCAATGGTGGTTTTTCCTACTCAGAGCAACAGTTGAGTGGCTCACCTAACTGGAGTGGGACCGGGAAGGGTGGTTTCTGTGCATATAAAACGGCGTTTGGTGGACACATGGCGCCCACTCTCTCTGTTGCGATGACCACTTCCTCCTTAGCAGCTACTGCGAGATGATTGCTCTCTATTAATTAATTTCAATCATTACAGAGATCCTCACAGAGGAGCAAAGGGAGCCCCAGACCCGTCGAACGGCTTAAAACCACATCCAACGGCAGACACGGAACCTGATCCCAGGTTTGGGTGTCCCTGACCGTTTGTGTCTGTCACCTCCCAGGGGATGGACTGCAGACCGACCGCAGGGTTGCACGGAGTGACCAGCTTCCCCATTCCCACCCTCGGCTCAGGGTGGACGCTTTCCCTGTCCTTTGCAGAAGCGCCCCCCGCCGGCTCCAGAACCTCACGCTGTGACCGTGACACTCACCAAAGGTAATCCACGGTTCCTGACAATTTTTTTTTTCATTTCGGCAAGAAATATGGAAAGCATATTCTGATCTTTGGTTCCCCTCCATTTCCCATCTGTTCTCCATCAGGAGGGCGAACTCCATCGCCGCCCGAGCCGGCATCCAGTTCAGACGCGGACGCTCCAGGGACAGGGTGCAGCGGGGAGTCTCTCGCTCCCTGTCCTGCTGCTCTGTCTGTGCGTCCATCTGGCGTTCTGGCCCCCGGGTCTGGTCAGCCCCACGCAGAAGGTCAAACTCGCTGGAGGGTGAAGCGGAAGGAGAGCGGGGTGTGTGGGGGGGGCGACGATTTCAGGGACGTGGAGTTTGACCGTGTCCCTCTGGGTCTCCTCCCACCCGTGTCACTTCTCAAGCCCCTGCCCATGAGCGCAAGAGGAGAAACAGTGTCACCAGACCCGTCCATTTGCTCGCCACTCAAAAGCCGGGAGAGGAGAGCTGTGGGGGGGAGCTGGGTTGTTCAAGGGTCAGCACCCCGATAAGACAGTGGGGAGCAAACAACAGCAACCCAAGAGCATCCTGGGGACATGGGGGACATGGAAGGGCTTTCATAGGTAGGGAACAGAGGTGCAGTGGGACAGTGGGTGTGAAATCTGGGAGCCTCTGCAGGGCCTCGGTCATCTGGGGTGAGCGTCTTTTCTTCATGGGTGAGAACATGGCCGTCAACCTTGACCTTGACCCCCTGGGGCAGGCACTGTGATTCCTTAGACAAACACGTGGCTTTTCTTCCTGTTGAGTCCTTGGGTACATTCTGCTGTACCCTGAAGACCTACAGATGTCCGGGTTGTGTCAACCTAAGAGGAGGCTGATGGAGTGGTGGACGTCCTCGTCATGAGGGGCCTTTTCCTTGAGGACTTTCCTGGGCAAAGGGAGGGGAAAGGGTTGGAGAGGAGAATCGTGAAGGAGTGACCACTGCCCAACAGCTGGAAGCCACCCGAGAATGGCATGTCTCCAGTGGCGGGCTGAGCATCCTCAAGAAAGCAGCTTTAAGGTGCCCTCCTGTCACCCCAGTGGCTTGGGAGGCTGAGGCAGGAGGATTATGAGTTTGAAGGCCAGCTTCACCAACTTTAGTGAGGCCCTGTCTCAAAATAAAAAATAAAAAGGGCTGGGGATGGGGCTCCGTGATGAAGTGTCCCCGGGTTTGATCCCCAGGACCAAGAAAAAGAAAAAAAAATCAGATTTTAGATAAGGAGGAGGAAGAGGAGGAGGAGGAGGAAGAGAAAAAGGCAGAGGACACAAGGAAACCCTGAACGAGCGAGGGTCAGAAAACGGGGGTCAAGTGACATGTGAGTGACTCTCCCAAACATGGGCCTAGTGAGGCTCTGAGTCTTCATCTGCAAAATGGGGGGGGTCTATGGCATTTCTGGGGGGCTCACAGTGAAGATCGAAGATGGTTAAGAGTCCTTCTTTACGGCCTGGCAGGAGAGCGCGGTGAAGTGCTCTCTCACACTTTGGAAACGAATCCCGTGCACTTATTTATGCCCTGAGACCCACCTCCTCCGTGGGCAGCGGCCGGGCCAGGCGGCCTTTACCGCCTCAGGAAAAGCATGACACTGCATAAAGTAGGGGAGTCACGGCCAAGTCTCACCTTGGAGCTCTGGAAGCCGGCCGAGGGCTGGCAGAGGAGGAGAGGTGTGGGAGAAGGCCCTAGTGGAGCTCTCTGCCTTTGAGCCTCGAAGGCTCTCCCTGGGCTGGGGACAGACGCTGGGGTATCCTGAGGAAGCACAGAAGCAGCCTCAGCCGAGGACTGAGGAGGGTGTCTGCAAAACCCCCAGCCACAGCCCTGAGCAGGCGCCTCTCGGCACAAGCCAGTGCTGAGACCTGGGCAGTGGCCAGCCATGGGCAGCAGGCCAAGATGGCCCCCGGTGGGACTCAGCCCTTGTCGCCCCGAGCTGCCTGAGGGATGAGTTTTCACGAAGCGGAGGTGACGCGGGACTCACTGTGCAGCTCCTGGGAAGGGGAGCCGCGGTCGAGCCTTCGGATACAACTGCAGCCCCTTCCTAGTCTGGCCACACCCTCGGGAGAGACCCAGGCCGCCTCCCGCAGGTGGGCGGCCGTGAACTCCTGACCCCTGGAAACCCTGTGGCCACACGTGAGCTCATTGTCAGTTTCAGTGCCGAGTGCCGGGGCGACTCTTATGTAGAAACTGACCCCTCTGCCTGCCACTTGGCACAGTGTGGGACATGTCCCCTCCTCGGAAGGCGGACGCAGCCGGGAACAGGGGAGGGACCCTCGGTGCCCTGGAATTCTGTTTCTGCCACTTAGTGGAACCAGGCTGTGGTGGGACTCTGTTGAGTCACAGGAAGTGAAGTTCCGTGCTCAGATCTGAGTTTCCAGACGCCGCGTCTGTGGCCACGGCTTCCCAGGAGGATCCGTGGATATTTGGGGGCCGGGGGAGGCCAGCGGAGCAGGACAACAGTCTCCAGAGTTCCAAAACAGAGGGGCACGTCTCCCCAAATCCCGAAAATTCTCCAGTTCCAGAAAACTGGGCTCTTCTCCGGGAAGCCTCTGGCTCCCACTCTGTCCCCTCCTGTGAGCGTCACCCGCTCAGCTTAGTGCCCAGACCCGCCCATTGGAAAACCTACCATTAAAGAGACCATTAAAAAGAGAGGGGAAGAGCAATCGTGCCAAGCTGCAAGGCCCAGGAGGCCAGGGGACAGCGCGTGATGGAAATCAGCCCTGGGACCAGAGGGCAGGTGGCCCAGCGGCCGAGGCAGACACAGAATCCACTGGAGAAGTCCACATATTTGAAAATCCTCTTCCTTTGATGAATTGAGTTATCAAGAGTTTCTCTCTGTCCCCACCCCAAAGGGTCCAGAACAGGGGCTCAGACGGAGTCAGGTTCTGCCTCTTTCCAACTGCTGTAGATCTCAGGCAAGTCTCTGAACCTCTCTGACCCTCTGTTTCTTCATTGAGAAAGAAGGAATAAGGATAGGTCTATACAAATGGACCTGAATCTCCATCTTGCTTTGTATTCGTCCTAACAAATCATAGGGAGTGAAGTTATATGCCTTACAGTCTTTCCCATCATGAAATGAAGCCTGTTTCCCCATTGCCTGATTCCAGGATGGCCGTGTGACTTCTTTTGACCAGTAAAATATGGCAGAAGTGACCTAGGTCAGTCCAGGGCCTCAGTCTCAGAGGCTTCTGTTCTCTCTGACCCCATGGCCCCCTTCAAGCAGCTCCGACTGGGCTGGTGAAGATAACACCCATGTGTAACAGACGTGACCAACCCAGCCACAACTGTCTAAGACACCCATCCTCCAGACGACCACAGATTGTCTAAGTGGGCCAGTGAGTGTCTGCCCAGGTGGCCAGGAAAGAGAACAGCCACCTGACCCATGGCCTTACGGGTAACAGTGGAGGAAGGGGTATTGTTTGAAGCTGTTAGGCATCATTTGATTTGTTATGCAGCAATAGCTAGCAGCTACACTGCCGTCTTAAGGATTTCTGTGAGGACCAGAAATTGTATAGGCAGATGGCATAAGCTCATTGCTGATGGTGGGCTGGCTCTGCCAGGGACTGTGCTTAGGATTAGGGGCATTAGACCAAAGGCTGGGGAGGTCCTGAAGTGCTGGCCCTGAAGTTCAAGGGCAGGGCGTCCCGCTACTCACACACACACCCAGGGTCTGGCTCACGGTTCCTGCTCCATGCACCTTAGTTGTTGGATATTGTTGATGCTGAGACTCCTGAAAACGCTTCCGGCTTGGATGTGGGTCTGAAGTTCGCAACCAGAGGCCTCAGAGGCTCCTTAGCCAAGGGCAGATTAGAAGGCAGCTCTGTGGCGGGTCTGTGAGAAGGAAGGGGGGGGCACAGTCGGTAACCGGGGGCCCCTCTGCCCTCACTGCTGTGGTCCCTGCACCTGCAGCCCCAGCATCCCCTGGGCCCTAGTTAGGAATGCAGAATCTCAGGTCCTCCTCGGCCGGCTGAATCAGTAAGTGTGCTTTAACAAGGCCCCCAGGGCATTTGGGGCCTGCTAGAGTTTACCGGAACACTCTTCTTAAGCTCTGTGCACTGAGGGACTGATAGATATTTTAAAAAATTTCTAATCCATTGCAGAATGACACTTTTATAAAATGCAGTTAAACACACACACACACACACACAATTTACGAAACAAAATAAATGAAAAATAAAACACCCGCAAAAATCCAAGCGCCTGGTTTCTATGATCAGATTCAATAGATAATAGAATTGCTTTCTGTCAACTTGCTACAAAATGTTTCTTTCTCTGTCTGCACCTCACTGTGGGCAGGTAACAGTGAGACACCCGGCAGTATCCCTGGGCCACCGTCTAAGCAGCTGTGTGCCAGAGCTGATCATGATGGTGATGCTGTCATCATGAGCATGGACCATGGTGCGCTTGGAACCAGGGAGCCGTGAGGGTGCACAGCCTAGGGACCCGACAAGCCTCTCAGCAAACTGTGGGGCCAGTGATATTTCTTTCTTTTCTTCTTCTTCTTTTTAATTTCCACTTTTTAGATGAGTTAGATAATTAAGGCACAGAGAGGCTAAGTGACTTGCCTAAGGTCACAAAGCATACAAGTCTCCTAGCCTGAGCCTGCCTGTTGGGTCACTGCAAGACAAGAAGGAGGGAAAGGAAAAGGATGCTGTGCCCTGTACCCTGTGTGAGTGACAGCTGTCTAAACGCTGGAACAGGGCCACCGCTGGATAACCACCATGCAGGTGAAGCCACAGCTTAACAAGCCATCTGCTAGATCCAGCCTGGTCCCCGTCCCCCTCTCTCTTTGATGCAGCTGGGGGGAAAGGGGCCCCTCCGTGGAGCGTCCCACCCACTGCCCGAGAGGAGGTGAGGGCCAGGGCCCGGCTGGCAGCTTCTCTCTCTTGCTTCTCTTTTCCCTGGAGCCATGGGGGCTGGGCAGAGGCCGGGCCTGGCAGGCTGGGTGATAGCTAGTTATCGACAGGTTGATGGCTGCCACCGAGGACTGCCCGAGGACATCAAGGCGAGAGGCACTTCTGAGGCCCGCTGCTCCGGGAGAGCAGGCTGCCAGCGTCCCTGCCCAGGGCCCGGGCTTCCCCTCACCATCTCATTAATCCTGATTTACAGAAAAAGGCGGCAGGAGGGGCCCTCTTAACGGGCCGCGGAGGCGACTGATCTGCCTGCACTGAAGACAATCGTGCCCAGGAGACCCGCCATCGCTGAATTATTCAAATCAGCCGTGGCAGGGAAATCTGAGGACACAGAGTGGCTGGCGTCCGCCCCTGCCTCCCCCAGCCGTCCTCTCCTGCCCCCAGGGTGACAGTACCCAGCAGCTCGGGGTGGCCCACCGCTGCTCCCGCCTCCCCCGGCTGAGTGGAGGCTGCTGCGGATCATCTCCGAGCACCTCCGAGCTCCAGGAAGGGATCCAAAGTGACATTTCCCACCTGCTGGTCCCTGGGGGGACATGGTGACAAGGACCCCTGGATGACCGTGTGATGGGCGAGGGTGGGGGCCGGAGGGGCGGGTGACGGCTGTTCTACCCAGGTGCGGCCGCGTGTGCGCGGTCGTGCATGTATGTGTGCGTGCGTGCCTGCGCGTGTGGGCATGGGGGACACGGGTGGAACTCGGCATGACAATCCTCGACATTTTCTGCTCCTGGAAGGAAGACACTCGGGTAGCCTGAGATTCAGGAGCGTGACAGCCTGGATTCAGGCCCGGCGTGGGGACAGGCTGGAGTGCGAATGGCTGCAGCTCGGTGGCCTCCTGGGGAGGGGTCCTTGGAGAGCACAAGGGGTAAACTGAGGCTCAGAGAGGACCAGGGTCCTGCCGGAAGGTGTCAGTGGCTTGTGGCCAAAAGGCAGCTGAAAACCCAGGTGTCTGGCTGGCAGTTGGGGGCCTGGATGTTCCCGTACCTCCCACCCTCTGCTAAGCAGACAGGGGACCCAACCCGGCTGTAGATGGCTCATCCCCCTTCACCTCCTGGAAATCTCAGAGGCTGAGATGCCTTTTTTTTTTTTTTTTTGGTACCAGGGATTGAACTCAGGGGCACTGGACCACTGAGCCCCGTCCCCAGCCCTGTTTTGTGTTTTATTTAGAGACAGGGTCTCACTGAGTTGCTCAGGGCCTCAGTGTTGCTGAGGCTGGCTTTGAACTGGCGATCCTCCTGCCTCAGCCTCCGAGTCACTGGGATTGCAGGCATGGGCCACCACATCTGGCTTGAGAGGGGCTCTTATTCCCCTCTACAGTGGGGGAAACTGAGACCCACAGAGATCCAGGCAGAGGGCATGTTGCAGGGATTGCAAAGAGGCTCCGTGGGATGGGGACCTGGCGGCTTGCCTCTGCGGGTGGTCAGTCACTCTCACCATCCCACCTGGGGTGGGGGCACCAGGGTTGCTGCCCATCTGAAGCTCCCCTCCTCGCCTGGGGCTGTGGACAGGACTGCCTCTACCTCTGAGGGCTTCCAGGTTAGGCATTGCCACTCTGCTGTCCCCAGGGTCACACCAGGGGCCAGGATCCATGAGCTTGGTGCTGTGATGTCCGTTTCTCTAGGACACTGAGGCTGGGGAGGGAGAGCCATTGCCTAGGCTGCTGTCTCAGGGCTGAGACGAGCTTGGATCTGAACCCTGGGCTTCCTACACCCAGCACCTGTAGGATACACCGTGCCGGGCGGGGGACCTTCTCCGTCAGGCTTGATGTCCATGTCCCAAGGTGGATGTCACCTTTCCCTGCCCAGGGAGCCCCACGAGTGGTCCACTCTCGAGTCAGGGTCCGTGTCACGGGGTCCTGGCAGGAGACCTAGGTGCGCCGAAGGTGAGGGTGGGTCTCTAGGTCCTGTCCACTGTCCATTTTCAACCCTGCCTTTCCGGGACGTGGCGCTCCCTGCCCTCCAGTCAGCTCCCAGCTCCTGCTTGGAATAATGAGCACCGGCACGAGTGAGGTCTGTGGCTTGCACGTGTGCGCACGCGCGCGTGTGTGAGCGTGGAGCCTGGAGCAGCCCCCTGCAGAGGAGCGGAGGAGAGATTTATCTCCTGGGTCAGATAAAGGTGACTGAATGCAAACTGGCCAATTCCTTGGGCAAACAGTGCCCCGGGGAGGGCTCCTGCGAGGAGGAGGAGGAGGAGG